TCATACCCAGTCAGTTGTTAGTGGGGGTCATAGGCAGTCAGATGTTGGTAGGGGTCATAGACAGTCAGACGTTGGTGGGGGTCATAGACAGTCAGACGTTGGTGGGGGTCATACACAGTCAGGTGTTGGTGGAGATCATACACAGTCAGATGTTGGTGGAGATCATACACAGTCAGACGTTGGTGGGGGTCATACACAGTCAGACGTTGGTGGGGGTCATAGACAGTCAGATGTTGGTGGAGATTATACACAGTCAGATGTTGGTGGGGGTCATACACAGTCAGACGTTGGTGGGGGTCATAGACAGTCAGATGTTGGTGGAGATTATACACAGTCAGATGTTGGTAGGGGTCATACACAGTCAGACGTTGGTGGGGGTCATAGACAGTCAGATGTTGGTGGAGATCATACACAGTCAGATGTTGGTGGAGATCATACACAGTCAGATGTTGGTGGGAGCACAATCTGCCCAGTGACCTTCCGCTAGAATACTAGCCAACTGGCAAAACCAAGCCAGCAAATCCACAATTACCAAATGAGATCGATTGGCTGGTGTATCTTCTGAGGTTTCCATTAACATCCAATTACATTACTGAAAATATCATCTGTGGATTCCTTGAAAGGTTACCCTATTTTACAGGTTTCCCCCAAATAATCCTATCTGTGAGTATTAATATTTTATTAAAACTTGTTTATTTTTATGGTTTGTAAATGTACACGGGGGAACCACATTCACCCATTAGATATGAAGGTTTGGCTTAGTCGTTCTACAGTATATGGACAAACATTTGTGGACACCTGACCATTACAATCATGTGAGTTTGTTTGAAATCCCCCTCCAATATGGAGTTGCGGTTATACCAGCCTCCATGTTTCTGGGATGGCTTTCCATTGATTTTGGAGTGCGTCTGTGGGGATTTGTGTCCATTCAGCCAAAAGTGCATTTGTGAGGTCAGGTTCTTGATGGACATCCAATTCCAAAATCATGGCCATTAATATGACATTGGTCCCCCTTTAAGGCTATACCAGTCCCCACTCTTCTAAGAAGGCTTTCCACTAGATTTCGCGGTGTATCTGTGGAAATTTGGGCCCATTGGTAAAGTCAGGTACTGACGCTGGATGAGAAGACCTGGCTCACAATCGGCATTCCATCCCAAAGGTGTTCAGTCGGGTTGAGATCGGGGCTCTGTGCAGGACACTCCACACCAGACTGGTCACACCGTGTCTTTATGGAGCTGGCTTTGTACACAGGGGACAGTCATGAAAAGATCCTTCACCAATATCTGCTAGTATCATTAACAGAACCCTTCACTGCATCTGAACTCAATCATTTGGAGGGGTTCCATATACTTTTGCCCATAGTGTAAGTGTGATGGTTGGGTGTCCACAAAGTTTTGGTCATATAATGACTGAAGTTTTACATTTTTTCTAGTTTAGGCAAGTTCTGACTTCATTGGAAACCGCAGACTCCCCATGAATCCAAATAAACTTCTCCTGGCAGCCACTGACCAGGAGTGCAAACCACACTCCCCCCGATACAGAGATGGCCATTCACAGGAGCATTTAAACTCTGATCGTATGAAATGCAATTTTCAAAGGATGGAAGAGTAAGCAAGTACAGACATGAACGTCTTATCAATCAGTGCAGACACAATACTAAAAATACACTGTAGTTGTCCTTTAAATGGAGAGGTAGCTGGGTATAATATCTCATTTGCATTGAAGGTCAAAGTTCAGATAGGGACTTGTCACTCAAAAACTGGTCTTGCTGCGGTCATAAAAATATACACAGCAAAATTAAAGTCTGGAAACCAAGAATGTCAAGAATCTGTCACCCCTCCCCAGCAACCAATCTTAATTTATATTGGAGGAATCTGTCCTCAGGAAATCCCATGCTATGGGGCACAGCACATTGACACTTTGGCTCTCTGCACTGTGTTCATAATTCCAAATGCTTTCAAAGGCAGTTGGTGTGATTTCCACTATACCTACATGGCCAAATGTTTGAGGATGCCTGACCTATAGGAGCTTGTTGGACATCCTATTCTAAAACTGCGGGCATTTTTATGGAGTTGCCCTGTTTGTAGCTATAACAGCCCCCGCTCTTCTGGGAAGGCTTTTCACAAGGTTTTGGGGGGGGTGGGGTGTCTGTGGAAATCTGTGCCAAGGTGTGAGGCCAGGTACTGATTTTGAATAAGAAGTCTTGGCTCACCATCGGCATTCCATCCCGAAGGTGTTCAGTAGGGTTGAGGTCGGGGCTCTGTGTAGGACACTTAAGTTCCTCCACACCAAATTGGTCAAACAATGTATTTACGGAGCTGGCTTTGTATACAGGGCTCAGTCATGGTGGCACAGAAAAGGGTCTTCACCAAACTATTACCGCAAGGTAGGAAGAGCACAATGGTCCAAAAAGTCTGTGTATGCTGTACCATACAGGCTTCCACATACTTTTGCTCATATAGTATGGTGGCCATATTCGGCCATTATAGAAAAAATCTAATTTGCATATGGCCCAAATGGGTTCTGTAAGGGGCAGAAGTTACAAAAAGCTCTGCTGCATCTTTCCCTGAACTCCTCCCAACCCTGCCACCATTTGCTCCGAAATATTAGATCACCACCGCTTGGGAACGGCTGTAGTTATCTAAGTACAACTCAATGGTATGCTTACTTTGGGTTGGTCTCCAGAGGTAATGAAGTTATTTAGCAGAATTATTTTAAACATTTGTTTTTAGTTACAAACAACTCAATGTAATTATTGCTTCTCTTTAAATACTGACTCTGTTTTGTCATCAGAAAACACATATCGCTTGATAAGACAAACCTGTAAAATGAACACAGCCACAATGCTATGAAATACAATTGGGACGGAATAATGCCTGTGTACGAGACACAAAACCCGGAGAAATCCTCCTCCACTCGCTCCCTATCTTCGCACAGTATGGCTTTGAATAACATGTTGGCACAGATTATATAATATTTTGATAGGGAATACAACAGATTATTTACAAACAGGATGTAAACAGAAGCTGAGGCTTTCATGGCAATTTGTTTAAAGGAGAACTATGGGGTAAGTGTTTTTCTCCATAGTTCTCCTAAGGGTCATGGGCGGACACAAACTAGCATCCTCACGTGACCCAAAGCTCAGTATATATACTGAGACCGCCGCAGCCGGGACAGATCCCGACATTACTGTTGAGATCCACCCAGCTGTGTGATTGACAGCTGGCTCTGCCTATCTAGAGGCAGAACCAGCTGTACCCGCCCCCTCCCCCGTCCATTCCGCCAGTCAGCGCTGGAGGATCGGAGCGGGGAGGGCGGGAAACCCTGCAGGGAGCTGTGAGTGACAGTCACGGCTCTCTGCAGGGACATGATCGAGAAGTGATCGCTTCCCGATCTATTGAACCGACGCGTGACAGTTTCATTGTCACGCGTCGGCTCGAACTATGAGGCTGAGTGAAAATGTCTCACCTCATAGTTCTCCTTTAAGAAAAGAAGTCGGTGCCCCATCAACATCAGTTTTCCCCAATGTCCCAGGCTCCTCAGAAGTTAGGACTCCTTATTGCTTGATACAGCAGTGAAAATAAGACTATGCCTGAGCAATATTCTGCATTGTAAAAGTTCGCCCGGCTCCTCCACTAAAAATTGCGAAACTTTTCTTTCAAAAGTTTATATCGGGGATTTAAAAGCCACATCCTCCGGGAATTCTGCAAGGATGTGGACTATGGAGGAAGCCGATGCTGACCTAGAAAGATGCAATATAAATTAATGAATTCATGAGAAAGTCTGAAAGATTGTTTCCATATTTGTAATTATTACATTTAGTGTTGTGTTTATTTTCTTTTTCTTGGAGTCAGCAGTTCAGAGCTTGAACCGCAGCTACCGTCCCTTCTACTTGCATGGCAAGTTATCTGGTCCTGCAGTGCAAGTTGTCCTTATTATAAAAAAAAAAAACTGCAAGTCTATCCCTAGGTGGATCCACAGAATCCACTGTGCACCGTCTTCTCAACTTGTGCTTCAAGTTATGACATAAGGTTCAGAAATTTGCTCTCTTCGGCCAATGTGGATAGCATGGAGCTCATATCTCCAATTGCCATATTGCTCATCCCGGCGGGGATGGAGGGGAAGGTCAACGAGTTCCTGGGAGTTGTGAGGCGAGATGAGTTTTGAGAGAGGCTCTGGATAAGTCCCGGACTCAGAGTTCCTGACAAGAGGCTGGAGTGATCCCCATCATCCATGATGGCATCAAAATCTATGGAAGGTGGAGGCTCTAGACCTTGTGAGTCCACAGTGCTGGTTACTTGGTTGACACCTGGAGATGGCATGGTGGAGACCTGCCTCATTGTAGAGTCCATACCTGTGCTGAAATTGGCATTTTGCTCAAACATTTGTATTTGCCCAGAGTAAAACAGTAAACCATTGTCTTTGTTATTCATACAAGCATTAGATTCAGCTTCCTCATTGGTTCTTTTTGGGGTTGCCTCTGCTGTTTGTTGGCATGGGTTCTGCTCACTCGCTGACTGTGGGCTCCTCATGTAAGTTGGCTGATGCCCCGAGTGTATGCTCCTCGGCCTGTTAGGAGGATGAGGAGGAGGTCTTGGCTGAAGCATGGCATTGTTTAATGGTTGTGTAGGCATGCCCATATTGCTGTGCTGAGAGGGAAACATATTCTGTTGGGGCTGGTTGGGGTAGGAATTTGTTCTGTGAAGGTTCTCTTGATTTACATGAAAGTTATTTGAATAATTTTGAGCGTTTGGATGAGTGTTTGCACCATGCGGCACCTCACGGTTGCCGTTCGGTGCCATGTGTTGGTTACTCATGGAGTTTGTGCTCTGCGGAGAGTGCATATGAAGCCCAGGTTTATTTAGAGTGTTACTGCAGGATGGTGGGAGTTGGTACTGACCTTCATTAACAGTCCTTGTACTCAACATGTGCTGAGACTGGTTATAACTCAGTGGTTGGTTGAAATCAGAGTTGGTGTTTTGGCATGAGTTCATCTGTTGTTGCCTTTGCTGTATGTAGTTAAATCTTTGACCATTAACACTGCCATTCCTCTGTATCAGTTCTTGTTGTGCCAGGTTACTTTGTCTTGCCTGGAACGGCTGCTGGCTGAAGCTCTGGTACTGTCCAAAGTTCTGTTTCTGTGTTACGACTGCCAAGTTCCCCTGCGTAAGCGGCTGTTTTGGCATATGGGTCGCAACATCTACAGTACCCGAGCTGACTTCATTCCATTGTACTGGCATACTATTTTTCTGCATGTTAGGACAGCCCTGAGTATCCCCGACTACTGGATAGTTTGTACTTGCGTTTGCTGCAGATATCCTACACTGTGCCTGCGTTGCCTGGCTATAATTCTTTATACTGTTTTGGAAATTTGGAGGTTGGCTATTGAAATCGGAAGAAAGGGTACTGTTTTGAGATTTAATGTACTGTACGACATCATCTGGCAGAACCAGATCATCAACCAGAACCTCGCCTCCTGGAACGTCTATGTCCGCCGAGATAGCTTCCATTATGACATTCTCACTAATGCTGGGAGGCCTTGGTGAATAGACGTGTCTGTGAAGGCTTCCGTCTGAGCGCGTATACTGCGGAACTGCGCCATTTCTTCTGTCCATCATTGGCGGAGGATGCAGTGTGCTCATACTGTTCATGCTGTGAAAACGTTGAACCCTCGGCAGATGCTGGGTGTCAAGTCCTGTAGTGGTCCTCACTGGGTCACTGGCCCTTCTTGAGTTGTTCCCGTGAACCTCATGTGGATACATCGGCATCGGACCGTTACCAATACCGTCGCTGTATCGTCTTGGGCCTGGGTGTTGTCTGAAGGATGGCAGGGAAAATTCTGCCCCATCCAGAAGTGACATCTTGTTTCTCAAGCTCATTTTCTCCATGTTGGGGAGAGGTGTAGGTGGAGGGCCACCTGTTGCCGCAGCATATTTAGCCTTTAAACGATATTGCTGAGCAGGAGTGAGGCTTAAAAGAGTCGGCAAGCCATTGTATTGGCTAGCATCGCTAGACCTTCTAGATGCATCTGTAGATATGGGATCATAGGAGTCCGCAGAGCTGCCGTTGTGTTGTCGTCCTCCAAACTGCGATGCCTCGCTGGACCGGCGGCTGGAGAAATTTGGGGAGATCCCTGAGGAGCGGCGGCTGGTGTATGCAGAACTTATGGTGCTTGTTGCGCTATCCCGCCTCTCATTGAGCTGGTTGAGCATGGTGATATCATTAAGGGTCAAGTCTGAAATTCTTGGGTTGGTCATCACACCGCTTGGGACACCACTGCTATCGAACAAAGAGCCTGAAAGAGAAAAATTTAACGTACTAGTAAAACAGGTTATAAACTACAGAGACAAAAAAACAAGAATTCAGAGTTTTACATCTTTAAAGTACATTAGGTATCCAGAGAGGTATCTTGGAATAGTTTATATACAGTACACAGCAGATATGTGACACACTGTTTGCTTTAAATGTAAAAAGTGCTACTTATCACATTCACTGATTGTATGGTGAGGTTCCAAAACCCTTAGAAAATCCCTTAGGCTGGGTTCACATCTGGGCGTACTATAGGCGTGTTTTTTCAGCTTGTTTTTTTCGTTCAGTGAAACGCGCATTTAACAGTACCCTTCACTGCAAACATCTGAATTCAATCATATAGTGTATCTGTCAGCCCTTGAACCAGCTGCTAGACTGCTGATACCTATTTTGACACTTAAATTGAGAGAGGACAATTTGTGGCACTTTGGTTATTTCTTCTTAAGAGAGTCAAAGATCGAGCCTTGCTCCTATGCCGTACATGTGGTAAACCTTTGTGTAAGATAAATAGTGCCTCTGGAGGCATTTTATTTCCTAAATGCTTTAAAGGAGAACTATGAGGGGGAGTGCTTTTCTAGATAGGCAGAGCCAGCTGTCAGTCACGCAGCTGGGCAGATCCCGGCACAATTGTCGGGATCCGCTTCAGCTGCGGCGTCTCAGTCTACCGCGAGCTGTAGCTCCCTATATACTGAGCCTAGGGTAACGGGAGGACGCTAGTTTGTGTCCTCCCGTTACCCTAAGGAGAACTATGGGGAAAAGCCTTAACCCCTTAGTTCTCCTTTAAGTGTCCACATGTTTTGTGCCTCTGGGGACTGTGATGTATCTTCTCTGTTGTCTGAAACTTCTATGGTGCTGGGCCCTTTAGCTAACCATGGGGACATTTGTGGTTACAGCCTTGCTTCCCTGAAACTCACCATTTCCAGAGATGACTGGAAATTTGGTGTTCCTGGCAAGTGGAGTTGGGTTTATGAATGCACACGATTCCTTCAGCGTCTTCAGTTTCTCTTTCTTGAGCTGCTCCAGCCGCTGCACCGTGGTGCCGCCTTGTTTCCTAAGCTGCAAACTGACCATCGATATACCAGATGTGACTGTGGAATCCACCACTGGGCCGCTGTCCTCCAAGCCAAAGAGGTCTTCCAGGCCCCCCTCTCCGTGCAGGCTCAACTCTACTCCGCTGTCAGTGTTGGCATTGCCAAGTGGAGATGGTTCACTACTGCATGACGACTGACCACCAGGGCTGGGCTGCATCTACAAGACAGAGACAGAATGGTCAAGTTGGTGAATGTGGTAAATAACTGAAGATTTAAAACCCAACTTCATAGTTCATTTTGGATACAGCAGGGAAAGGCTAGAACCTCTTTTAGGTCATTTCTGCTGTCTGTGACTGTTGAAGAGATTTCCTCTCACTTCCTGCCAAGACCAGATGTGAAGGGAAATCTTTCCAATGGGGATACATACATTTTTAGCAGGGTGGAGAACGGGTTAAAGGAGAACTATGAGGTGAGTGCTTTTCACTCACCTCATAGTTCTAGCCAACCTGTGACAATGAGACTGTCACAGGTCGGCTCAGTAGATCGGGAAGTGAGCGAACACATGCCGGTGTTTGCTCACTTCTCGATCCTATCACGGCTCTCTGCCGTGACAGGGGAGGGGATGGATTCCCCCCGCTCCGATCCACCAGCGCTGACTGGCGGAACGGACGGGGGAGGGGGCGGGTACAGCTGGCTCTGCTTCTAGATAGGCAGAGCCAGCTGTCATTCACGCAGCTGGGCGGATCTCGACATCGATGTCGGGATCCCCTCCGCCTGCGGCGTCTCAGTATACCGCAAGCTGTAGCTCGCGGTATACTGAGCCTAGGGTGAGGGGAGGACGCTAGTTTGTGTCCTCCCGTTACCCTAAGGAGAACTATGGGGAAAAGCCCTGACCCCATAGTTCTCCTTTAACAAACGTCTTTGCAAAGCAGTTTTATATATGCACATCACACACACACACACACACACACACACACACATCATATTATATTTGATACAGGAGAAGACATTTCCTCAACAGGAACAAAGATAGCAACCTGACAAGAGTCCTCTGAGGAAGAGAATATCAACATGCAATACACAGAGAAGACGGTTCTCACCTCGATAAGGTCTGTCCTTTGGAAAGTGTTAGAAAGGCAGAAAGACAAACATGCGGTTAGTAAAAAGATTAAAAAGGAGCAACGAGTCATATTGATGAACATCAAAAAGATACAAAGAGGCTCTGAGACTTCAACACTTCTAATTCTAAAATAAGTAACAACCAAAATCATTCGACATCCGGACTTGCTCTGGTAAGACTACTTAAGCGAAACCAGATTACCCCGCGGTGCGTATCCAGAATGAGACTCAAAGCATGCACATAGGCCGCGAGCGCCCAACCAAATGGTGAAATTGTCCAAAATCACTTTAATTGTTTATAAAACAGACAACGCTGAGGCCTTTCACTCTGGCACAATCTGCCCCATTGAATTCTCATGAGGCATTCCTATGAAGTTACTGATCCCTGACAAAGGGGGCTGATTTTTTTAAAGGCCGGCAGTCTCTGTACTGTATGTTGGCATTCTGTTCTCAGCAGATAAGTGCAGATTTTAATTTTGACATCTGTAAAGGAAGTAGGAGGGGCCTTGAGATGATCGATGTACACATACTTCAGTTTCATGTACAGGGGTCACAAGTCTTCACTGTCCTGGTCGCATCTGCACATTACAGCTCCATAGACTTCTATGGGGCCATCCAGGCCCAGATTCCCCACAAGGCCACCGAGGCCCGGCCTTGGGGCGGCAGGGCGCAGAGGGGCGGCAGCGGTGTCCTTGTGGGGAAGTTGCCCTCTCTACATTCAGTTCTGCTTTAACGTCTATGTGGCTATATTGTGCAGACGCGTCCGGGATAGTGAAGACTTGTGATGCCGGATATAAACAAACAGCGGGATTACAGCCATTGGATTGAGGTAGGTATGCATCTGTGGAGGGGGAGGGTGGGTTAGGTCAGAAGAAGGGGGCAAAAAGGATCAGTTCACTTTATTTTAAAGTGCACCTACCCTTCAGGAACAATGTTGTGCTAGCAATTGGACTCCCAACACTCATTTTTATAGTACAGGTTACACAGTTACAGAAAAAAAAGAGACACATGCCCATGGAGTTTAACCAAAATACAAAATAAATAAAATGAATGCATGGTCTCATTCCTTCCTGATCCCCTAAGGCAATCAGATACTCCTTGGATCAACATTGTAGCATTACCTCTTATAAATATCTGTTTATATTTTGCACATTTAGAAACGCATCCAGCATATTTTTGAAGGAATCTACTGAGCTGAGTAGAACTAGCAACTTTGAAAAACTATTTCCCACCTCCACTTAACATGCTCTAACACTTGCTTTAGATCAGGGGTGCCCACAATTTTTTGTGTTAAGATCTACTTTTCAAATGACGAGTTACATGAGATCTACCAATGAAAAAAAGCCTCCCTTCCTCTCTCTCCTGGCTGTCTCTCCTTCCTCTCTCTCCTGGCTGTCTCTCCTTGCCCTCTCCCCTGGCTGTCTCTCCTCTCTCTCTTTCCTGGCTGTCTCTCCCCACTCTCTCTTTCCTGGCTCTCTCTCCTGGCTCACCTTGCTGTATTTTGCTGTGTAAACTAATATTCTTTGATGTAATACATGGCGCTTCAACCCCCAGAATCCACCAGAAAGGTGTCCGGGAGCTCGGCTCAGCAGACTCGGGCTAATAGGTAATCATGTGTGCACAGCTAAATAAATATACCAAAATGGAATAAAGGGGCCGCCATTCCCCCCTTCCTGATCTACCAGCATCAGCTCTGAGAGCTACTGCTAGATCACCATCTACCTAATGGGCACCCCTGCTTTAGAGGCTGTCCCAACGTGGGTGATGTCTTGCACATTTGGTGGACATGCCCCCTTGTAGCCCGTTTTTGGTCCAAAATGTATAGGCTCCTCCACTCTATTTTCCACATAACAATACCAAACGATCCCTGGCAGGCTTTGCTACATTTTAAAATTCCACAACTCACGTGGTCCCAATGGCAATTGGCTAATTATATATTTTTAGCAGCCAAGCAGACTATAGCTCATTCGTGGAAAACACAGGCCATCCCTCACTCTGAATTTCACCAACGGGTACAAGGATTTTTCTTGTTAACGAACACCTATCTAGCATTCTAACGGACACAAGCCAGAAATTTCATAAAATATGGGACCCATGGTCCTCCATCTTTTTACCCACCCTTGACCCAGTAACACGTATCCTCATTCGCTAGCTACCCAATACACCACGACACCCGGGTAGCAGTCACCACCTTCTTAATCCTTATCTCTCTACTCTCTACCTCCCAATGCCCTTACTCTCTTTCTCTAGTTACTCTTCATTTCCTCCGTTCCCTTCCCCCTGGCTGGTTAGTCCTGCCATAACACACACCGCACTCTTACATCTACAGACCTATCCTATAGGCTCTACCACTAGCCTACAAGAATTGTTTCTTCAAACAAAGTAACAAAAGATGAAAATCCAATAAAACACATTGAGATGGAAAAACTATTTCCCATTTTCACAGCTCCTACTGTAAGGAATCCTTTCCATAGGATAGGAGTTCTCCACTTATCTTACAAAATTAAAGTAATATTCTGATTGTTGGCTACGAGCAGCACAGACTAGACTTGTGCCCCATCAAAAAATGAGTTCCGTTTCGTATCGTTCCGGAATATCTGTTATTTCGTATTTTGTAATTTGTGTCCGAAACTCAATTCGGATTCGTACGAAATACGAATTTTCGTTAGTTTCGGCACATTTTCGTAACTGTACGAACATTCGTTATGATGAAGTTAAAAAGCAAAAATACCTTTGTTAATACTGGAGTCGATGTGGTAGTTGTTTTTTTATCCGAAATACGAATTCCGTTAACGGATTCCGTATCCGAATTTCATATTTCGGATAAAAAAACAACTACCATCAACTCCAATATAAATGTACTTTGCTTTTTAACTTCAATATAACGAATGTTCGTAAAGGAACGAAAATACGTCAACGGAATTTCGTATTTCCTGCCTGTGTATTGTGATGCGACCCTCAGCAGCAGCGGATCCGTATTTCGGATTAAAAAATCTTCTCATGTTGTTCAATCTCATTTACAGGGGTAATATTAGTTCCCGTTTCAAAGAAATTCGGATCCGAAATTCGTTAACGGAATTTCGTATTTCGGATATAATTCGGAAACTGCCATTCGGATTTCGGATGCTTCCGAATTTACGAATTTCAGGAAAATTTGTATGAATTTCGATTCGTAACGAAACGAATCGCACATGTCTAGCACAGACACCATTGTGTTTGAGGTCCAGTGTGTTCCCACGGACCGCACAGGCTTTAGAAGCCGTCTTAGATCAGAACTTGTCAGGGAGCTATATTTTTTTATAGTCGACATCTATTTACCTAGTACGTCAACGTGTTCATTTAACGCCATATGTAACTTCTCCGGGACACATCCGGAGAGCTGATAATCTGTAACAGAGTAGCTGATTTGCAATCCCGGCACAGATATGTTACTATCATTATGTAGGGAGCTATTAATGCCGAGATGAAACATAAACAGCATCTCTATCTAGTGCGGGGAATGTTGATGGGACGACTCGAGGAGTTAATTTGCTGACAAATTACCCCTCCGGCATGGCCAGGTTCTGCTGCTTTAATGTTTATAGAAGTTAATACCAACATTAGCGTTCCATTTCCTAATATCCCCCCTATGCACTAAACTTTACAGCATATGAAAGTGCTCACTGTAAATACACATTATGGGCGGCTCAGACACGACGGCTTTAAAGGCTACAGTTTGCTGTTCTGTATTTTAAGTTGTCATGATCTTGAGGCTCTGGATATAATGATTAAGATCAGGTTCTTGTGTATATATATATATAT